AGAGACGGGGTTTCACCATGTTGACCAGGATGGTCTCGATCTCTTGACCTCGTGATCCACCCGCCTCGGCCTCCCAAAGTGCTGGGATTACAGGCTTGAGCCACCGCGCCCGGCCTCACTGAAGGGTTTTAAACAGGTCAGGAACATAGTCAAAATGCACTTTAGAAAGATTATTGTGGTTTAGTAAGAATAAAATAGAGAATTTTTTTTTAAGGCCGATGAAAGACAGGCTTGGCACAGTGGCTCAAGCCTATAATCCTAGCACTTTGGGAGGCTGAGGTAGGCGGATCCCTTGAGCTCAGGATTTTGAGACCAGCCAGGGCAACATGTCGAAATTGCATCTTTACAAGAAATAAAAAATCAGCCAAATGTGGTGATACATGTCTGCAGTCCCAGCTACTCTGGCGGCTGACATGGGAGAATCACCTGAGCCTGGGAGGTCGAGACTGCAGTGAGCTGTGATTGTGCTACCACACTCCAGCCTGGGCAACAGAGCAAGACCCTGTCTCAAAAATAAATGTATGAATAAATAAATAAATAAATAAAACTAAAAGGCTGCTGAGACTGATTAGGAGGATGCTATATATAGCAGTCCTGAGATGACAGTAGTCTAGGCTAAGGAAATATAAACAGGGATAGAGGGAAGCAAATGGCTGTTAAGATACTTTTTTTTTTTTTTTGAGACAGAGTCTCGCTGTGTTGCCCAGGCTGGAGTGCAGTGGTGCAATCTTGGCTCACTGCAATCTCCAACTCCCAGGTTCAGGCAATTCTCCTGTCTCAGTCCCCCAAGTAGCTAAAATTACAGGTTGTCCCACCACGTCCAACTAATTTTTTGTATTTTTAGTAGAGATGGGGTTTCACCATGTTATTCAGGCTGGTCTCAATTCCTCACCTCAGGTGATCTGCCCACCTAGGCCTCCCAAAGTGCTGGGATTACAGGAGTGAGGCACCACATTCAGCTTTTTAAAAGGCAGAAACAATAAGACTTAGTGACTGGATATAGAGGTTGAAGGAGTGGGAAAAGTTTTGGAAATGAGATAGAAAATAGATCATTCAATGAGATATAAAACACAGGAAAAAGAGGCAAGACCTGCGGGTTGGAAGGAAAGATTAACTACATTTTAGACATGTTCAGGTGCTAATTATTAGACATCAGAATAGCAATGTCCATTAGATACTCTTTCCAAAAGCAAAGACGAGAAAAATGTGAGGACTAGAGGCAGAAAATGAAAATTAGGGCAGCACAGAAAAATGGTTAGAGCATAAATTTTGGTTACAGAGAGCCTGAGGGTTCATGTTCTGATTCCAGGTGTCTATTGACCTCAGGCTCGAAACTTAAAACTCGGTTCCTTTACCTATAAAAGTATAATCAGAATTTGCCTCAGCTTTTGAGATTTTGAGGTTTTAAGATAGGAACGGGATTGAAGAAGAATGTTCAGGGGTTTCAACGGAGGGTAGCTTCTTAATTAAGCTAAAATAACAATGTTAAAAACTGTTAAAGCCTGACAATGATATTTATTATTTTCCATAGTTTTGAAATATAATCACAAAGAATGAATGTATGTATAGCACATAGTTTACACTCAACAAACGTTAACTACATTAAATGTGATTGTTGTTTATGAAAGCATCAGGCACATAATAGGTATTCAAGTGTGTAAGGTGAGGGTGGAAAATTTCCTAAATATTTTCCAAAGATTCTCCCTAATACTCTTCAAATACTCTAAGAGTTTTTTCTAAGACACAAATCATATTAGAATTAGCATGTTAAACGATTAACAGATTTGAAACCAGAAAGACCTCGGTTTGATTGTATAATCTCTTTTTCTCAGTTTCCCAATATATAAAATTTGATTACACTAATACCTAATACCATTACCTCACATGGCCACTCGAAAGATTAAATTTGCTAAGTGTAAAGCGCTGAACATTATGTCAGATTTAGAGTGTTATTTAGAGTAATTATTAATTAATTTAAGAAGTACAAGGTGAATGCAGACTTACACAAAGGTTAAAAGCAGCTCAGCAAACTTAATATTAAACTTATGTGTGGGCTGGCCACAATGTCTCACATCTGTAATCCCAGCACTGTGGGGGGCTAAGGCAGGTGGATCCCCTGAGGTCAGGAGTTCAAGACTAGCCTGATCAATATGGTAAAACCCGTGTCTACTAAAAATACAAAAATTAGCTAGCTGTGGTGGCATCACCTAGACTCCCAGCTACTCAGGAGATGGAGATAAAATTGTATGATCCCAGGGGTAAGGAGGTTGCAGTGAGCCAAGATCGCACCACTGCACTCTAGCCTAGGTGACAGAATGAGACTCTATCTCAACAAAAGGAAAAAATAAATAAAATAAACTTATGAGTCTTAATTCTCATTCAATATTGTTTTTTTACAGGGTGTATTTCACTGGGTATCAATATGTCAAGCTATGAGAAGACACAAGTTTCACATAAGCAAAATGCCATGTATATACTGCCTTAACAACACTAAATGCCTATAACATCTCAATTTTTATGTCTATTTTTATTAATCGTACTGATATCTTTCCATTAAGCAAAGTCTGAAACCTCAAAGTTATTATCTTATTTTTAATCCATCTTATTAGGTAGTTATTTTACAATTGAAGAGTAGGCTCATGTAAATTAAGTAGCTTGTATATAGACAGGAACCCAGATCTACATTATTCCAAAAGGAATACCCATTCCATCTATGTGCCTAGCAAGGACATTTATACAAAGCACGATGTAACCTGGAAGATTCTATTTGCCAGCCTGAGAGAAAACACTATCACTCAAAGACTAACACATTGACAGACAGAGTACTTACACATTCTGAGGACTGTCTAGTCCTTATGGACTGATCACCCTGCTGCTGAGCTGAACCAGCCACCTGTTGAGCATTTACAAGGTTGCGGACCAGCTGGGCTGCTAAGAGAAGGCATCACAAAGAAAATCAAGAGATAAGGAAAGTAGCAGAGAAATGACAATAAGTAAACTCCCTTCTTTTGCAGAAGGGAGTTTAGACTTTTAAACTACGAGTATATTAGTGAAGGACTTGTAGCAACTGAACTACTTTTAAAAGCCATTTTTCAATCTAGCAAATCAAGAAAAAAATACACTGATCCTAAACACAAGAATAAATGCCATTTTGCTTTTCAAAAGGAACAACAGATTTATTTGAGAAATAATTTCTGGCTGGCTGCAGTGGCTTGTATCTGTAATCCTGTTACTTTGGGAGGCTGAGGTGGGGAGCTCACTTGAGTCCGTGAGGTCAAAGCTGCAATGAGCTATGATCATACCACTGCACTCCATCCTGGGCAACAAAAGCAAGACCCTGTCTGTCTGTCTCCCCCCTCCCACCCTCTCTCTCTCTCTCTCTCACACACACACACACACACACACACACACACACACACACACACACAAAATCTTTCTGCAATAAAAACCTGAGCAACTGGAAATCACCACTTCTAAAACGTTCGCTTTTTTCTTTCAATAAACTCTTCCTTGGGTTACTATTTAATTCTCAAAATTCTTTGTGAAATATAACATGAACAGATATCCCTCTCTCATAGCAGCAGTGGGAAAAAATATAATTTCTCCAATACGTCTCTAGGAAAACAAAATCTCTTGTAAAGAATGGTATACCAGCCGGGCACGGTGGCTCAAGCCTGTAATCCCAGCACTTTGGGAGGCCGAGGCGGGTAGATCACGAGGTCAAGAGATCGAGACCATCCTGGTCAACATGGTGAAACCCCGTCTCTACTAAAAATACAAAACATTAGCTGGGCATGGTGGCTCGTGCCTGTAATCCCAGCTACTCAGGAGGCTGAGGCAGGAGAATTGCCTAAACCCAGGAGGCAGAGGTTGCGGTGAGCCGAGATCGCGCCATTGCACTCCAACCTGGGTAACAAGAGTGAAACTCTGTCTCAAAAAGAATGGTATACTGATAGCAAGAAAAACAGATGAAGAGTCTGACTCAAATCCAAAAATTAGGCCAGGCATGATGGCTCACAACTGTAATCCCAGCACTTTGGGAGGCTGAGACGGGTGGATCATCTGAGGTTAGGAGCTGGAGACCAGCCTGGCCAACATGGTGAAACCCTGTCTCTACTAAAAGTACAAAAATTAGCCCAGCGTGGTGGCAGGCGCCTGTAATCCCGGCTATTCAGGAGACTGAGGCAGGAGAATCACTCGAACTCAAGAGGTGGAGGTTGCAATGAGCCAAGATTGCGTCACTGCACTCCAGCATGGGTAACAAGAAGGAAACTCTACCTCCAAAAAAATAAAAAAATAAATCCAAAGTATACTTACAGGGAGATAAAACTGAATACAACAAGACTGTGGGGATCTTGAAAATAAACTTATCCAAGTACTATTCAAAGTAAAAGCTTCACTGTCTAAATTTTATCTCTTTATGCTCAGTGAGTTGGCAAATGGTAGCAGCAAAAAAATAATAATAAAAAAATAAAAACAAATAAATTTTATCTCTTTAAGAAATTATAGGCCGGGCGCAGTGGCTCAAGCCTGTAATCCCAGCACTTTGGGAGGCCGAGGCGGGTGGATCACGAGGTCAAGAGATCGAGACCATCCTGGTCAACATGGTGAAACTCCGTTTCTACTAAAAATACAAAAAATCAGCTGGGCATGGTGGTGCGTGCCTGTAATCCCAGCTACTCAGGAGGCTGAGGCAGGAGAATTGCCTGAACTCAGGAGGCGGAGGTTGCGGTGAGCCGAGATCGCGCCATTGCACTCCAGCCTGGGTAACAAGAGCGAGACTCCGTCTCAAAAAAAAAAAAAAGAAATTATAAGGGCGTGGTAGCTCACGCCTGTAATCCCACCACTTTGGGAGGCCAAGGCAGGCAAATCACAAAGTCAGGAGTTTGAGACCAGCCTGACCAACATGGTGAAACCCCATCTGTACTAAAGAAGTATGCAAAAATTAGCCAGGCGCGGTGGTCCAAAGTCATACAACTAGGTTTGCAATAGAGAGGAATTAGGATCCTTTAGCATGACATCAAAATATATGACTTCATTTTTATCAGAAACTGTTTGGCCTTTTCTATTTACCTGCCACACTGCTATTCCTCTGACGGGCCAGCTTGACTTCTGGGCACTCCCTTCGTACATGTCCAGCATCTCCACATATAAAACATCTGAGGTCTCTGGGGTCTCTAAAGTCTCGAGTGTCGTGGAGGTCTCGGGGGTCAGTGTCTCGGGAGTCTTTCTCTTCTTCATTCCCTTCCTTCTCTTCTTCACTGTCTTTCTTCTTTAGTCTAAACAGTAAACTGCTGATACCAATAATGTGGGGCTAGGGACTTGTAAATTAAGTAAGTCACAGACAATGCAGGACTCTCACAATATCAAAAAGATTAACATGCCCATCATTTCATGCATCTTTTTAGAGGCAAGGGAACAAACATTTATGGCATACCTGCTCATTTGGCAGAAACTGGGTTTTCCAGTAGTTTTGTAAAACAACATTATGTTAAAGTTTTTTTAAATATCAAATTTTAAACCTTTAACAATCCTTAGAGGTTGATATTTATTACCTCAAGTTTTAAAGAGAAACTGAGGCTAAGAAAAGGTAAGTGTCTTGACTAAATTTAATAGTCAGTAAATTGCAATGATGGAAACTGGAAGTTTGTTCTGTTTCAAAACTTCCAAGTTTTCATATTAGGCCAGACTTGATGACAAAAGAAACAGACCTTCCTGACCTACCGTAGTATACAGAACCTATACTATAATTCATAGATATATTTTTGAGGAGGTACATAGATGTACATTCCCTAAGATCTTTAAGCATAACACAGCATATACCTCAAGAATTCCATTAATTGTATTTTAATTATTGGTCTGCATGACTGAGATTCTCAGCAAGAACCCAGTATCTTGGTCACTTTTATTTCTTGGCTTCTAGCAGTTTCCAACAAATAGTAAGTGTCAAGAAATGCTTCTTCAATTTAAAAAAAAAAAAAAACTGGCTGGGCATGGTGGCTCAGGCCTGTAATCCCAACACTTTGGAAGGCCAAGATGGGTGGATCATGAGGTCAGGAGTTCGAGACCAGCCTGGTCAACATCAGTGAAACCCCGTCTCTACTAAAGATACAAAAAACTAGCCAGGCGTGGTGGTGTGTGCCTGTAATTCCAGCTACGTGGGAGGCTGAGGCAGGGGAATCGCTTGAACCCAGGAGGCAGAGGGTACAGTGAGCCGAGACTGCACCACTGTATTCCAGCCTGGGTGACAGCATTGAGACCATGTCTCAAAAAAAACAAAACACACACCTGAGATTAATAAATAAATGAACAAATGAATGTTAGAAGATATTATTATACCATACATAAATCTTACCATATTACAAAATTCCACTCAAATGAACATTTAACCTTAGGTAAAATTTAATATCCTGAACTTTCTCACTTAAACATTTCTGAGCATAATTATAGCTACAAATTGGCCTCTGATTTATTTTCCTCAAAATGTTTATATATATTCACTTGCCAACCTTTTCCTTTTAGGGCAGTCTTTCATGTAGTGGCCTATTTTTCCACACACACGGCAACATCTATCATTGGGAGCGAGTTCTCCATCTGTTAATACTCTGGAATCAAAGAAGTACTCCTAGGGAGAAAATGCAGTTTCACTAGGAAGAATCACTATAAAATCTTTTAAATTCAATTGGAAAGAAGACCAAGATGAAAACATGGTTTATTTTTACAAAGAAAATAAACAGCAACAAATAGTTTGTAACTAAAACCATGATATGAAAATAAGATTCACAATCATCATCACAGTTGCTAACAGTACTAACCAAATTACATTCGTATGGCATTATACAAAGAAGCTACAGATGAATAAGAAAAATCTCAATAAAGTAGATACTATTTTCACCCTCACTTTACAGATGGGAAACCTAAGATTAAGAAGTTCAAGTAATTTACCCATAGTTTAAAAAAAAAAAAGTTAAGTCTCAGATAAAAGATTTAGAGCTAAGTCTATCTCACTACAAAACTCATGCTTTCTGCTACATTGGGTTACTTTTGGAAAGGAATTCTCTGTACAAAACTGCCTGTAGGCTCAGCCCAGTGACTCATGCCTGTAATCCCAGCACTTTGGGAGGCCAAGGCAGAGGGATCACCTGAGAATAGGAGTTTGAGACCAGCCTGGCCAACATGGTGAAACCCTATCTCTGCTAAAAACATAAAAATTAGGCCGGAGGCAGTGGCTCACGCCTGTAATCCCAGAGCTTTGCAAGGCTGAGCTCAGAAGTTCAGGACCAGCCTGGGCAAAATGGTGAAACCCTGTCTCTACTAAAACTACAAAAATCAGCCAGGTGCAGTGGCAGGTGCCTGTAATCCCAGCTACTCAGGAGGCAGAGGCAGGAGAATTGCTTGAACCCAGGTTGCAGAGGCTGCAGCGAGCCAAAATCATACCGCTGCACTCTAGCCTGGGTGACAGAGTGAGATTCTGTCTCAAAAAAAAAAAAAAAAAAGAAAAAGAAAACAACCACAAAAATTAGCTGAGCATGGTGGTGTGTGCCTTTAATCCTAGCTCCAGAAGAAAGAGACAGGAGAGTTGCTTGAATCCAGGAGGTGGAGGTTGCAGTGAGCCAGATCATGTCACTGCACCCCAGCCTTGGCAACGGAGAGAGACTCCATCTCAAAAAACAAAACAAAACAAAAGCCTATAGACCCAGCTACTCAGGAGGCTGATATGGGAGGATCACTCGAGGTCAGGAATTTGAGGCTGTAGTGCATAATGACTATGCCTATAACAGCCACTGCACTCCAGCCTCGACAAAGTATCAAAACCCTGTCACTAAAATATAAAAATAAATAAGTAAATAACAACAACAACAAGCAATTCTCTGGTTTATGTGAAATATGACTGAACTGCTGGGTGAAGTGGCTCACGCCTGTAATCCCAGCACTTTGGGAGGCCAAGACGGAGGAATCACCTGAGGTCGGGAGTTCCAGACCAGCCTGACCAACATGGAGAAACCCCGTCTCTATGAAACATGCAAAATTAGCCAGGCGTGGTGCCACATGCCTGTAATCTCAGGTACTCAGGAGGCTGATGCAGGAGAATTGCTTGAACCCGGGAGGTGGAGGTTGTGGTGAGCTGAGATTGTGACATTGTACTCCAGCCTGGGCAACAGGAGCAAAATTCCATCTCA